TGATAGGCTCCATTGGGACCAGCACTGTCTAGTATCTTTAGCAATGACATGAACAGCACAGCAAATTTGCAGATGACACCAAGCTGAGTGGTGCACCTGACACACCTGAAGGACAAGATGCTCTCCAGAGAGACACTGGACGAGGTTGTGAAGTGAGCCAATGGAAATCTCATGAGGTTCAGCAAGTCCAAGTGGAAGGTGCTGCACCTGCCTCAGGGCAATCCCACACATGAGTAAAGATGGGGACAAGAACTCACTGAGAGGAGCCTTGCAGAGGAGGACTTGGAGTGCTTGTGAATAGAAGCTGGACATGAGCCAAGAGTGTGCACTTGCAGCTCAGAAAGCCAACAGGATCCTGGGCTGCACCAAAAGAAATGTGAGCAGCAGGTGGAGGGAGGTGATAAAACAAGGGATAATGGCTGTAAACTAAAAGAGGGTGCATTTATTTTAGGTATTACAATGAAATTCTTTGCTATGAGGCTGGTGACAGGCTGAAACAGCTTGCTCAGAGACATTGTAGTTGCCCCTTTTGCAGAAATACTTACCTAAAGGCCAGTTTGGATGGGGCTTTAAGCAGCCTGGTCTGCAGAGGGGGGCGTACGTGGCCCGAAGTTTAGAGTCCGACTAGCTGAGGGCGAAAGGCCGATGCTCCTCTGCAATTCCTGGCCAGCACCCTTCGGCTTCTGATGGCCTCGGGCTGCGCTGGCTGCGGACTGGCTTACACTGCTGGTATTGGCGAGGAACGGAGCTGACCATTTCACCGGGGGTTAAACATCGGTTTATTGAAGATGTAGCAGGAATGCAAACGCAGGAAAACCAACCGGGAAAAAGTTTCTTTCAATAGGGGGTGAAACAGGATTAAAAAGGAGGGGGGGTGGGTACAGGCGGAACCAATCGGGAAAGGTGAGGGGATGAAGTTCACAGAACTGACACTCCATGGAGACCAATAATCAAAAGGTAAAGGAGGTGTCCTGGGACCCCAGCCAACCACCACCTCCAGAGAGGAGAAGGTTCTCGAAACCTGGGAGGAGAAGGGGGTGATTGACTGGGCCCAGGGAGGAGACAACTTTCACTTATAAGGGAAACTAGGGGAGGAGCAATTACATATCGGCAACTATGAATAGAGCAACTTAGCTGACAGGATGGCAGTGGCGGGAAAAACTGGGGGAACAAAACCATTTTACACATAATAGGGGAGAACAATACATAAATTGGGGGAATAACACAAGAAACTTAACAGCACACTACAACACTGGTCTAGTGAAATGTGTCCCTTCCCATGGCAGGAGAGTTGGAAATAGATGATTTTTAAGGCCCCTTCTACAATTTTAAGGTCCCTATTCTACAATTCTACAATTCTGTGATCAGTCTGTCCTTTCTCATTGCACTCTTTTATTTTCCCTTTCTTAGCTTTCCATTTTTCTTTCCACTTGCTCCTGTTAAGTTGTACCACAGGATGGATTAAAAAGATATTTAAATTTTAACTGCACAGCTTGTGACCGAGGAGTTCTATGACACAAAGGACAAGAAGTCCCAACTATAGAAACTATAGTTAAACTGCTGACATCAGGAATGCCAGAGAGAATAGGCCTCTCTAAAAAGAAGGGAAATGTCCCTTGGTGATGAGGTAAATAACACCCAAAACATTCTGTTGTAGCCAAAGTGGAATGGGATGACGCACAGGCCACAATTGGGCAGCAGAGTTGGTGATGAAGTATGGACCTCCAACACCACACTCGCTGGATCAGCACTGGTGTAACTGTTTGTAAGGGATTGGATCTCGGCACATCTTTGCAGACTCCTTCTAGAGCTGCTTATGGCAATAGGACTGCAATTCTCTGGTGGTGGGTTGTTCATTTTATTAATGTACAGTTAACCTGTGCCTAATATCTACCCCAAGGGATACAATAAAATTCCCTGATATGTATCTTTTTTTCCTCTGTCTCCCTGATTCCTCCTATTTCCTCTCCTCAAGCTGTACTAGGATTCTGGAGGCAAATAATAGCTTTCCCTTCAATTTTTATCATAGTCTATTTTTGTCCCAAAGTTAGTTCTGTCTTTGAAAAGGTCTAATATTAATTACAATCATAATAAAGTATTTTCCATAGTGGCATTAGATTTCTGACATATAAATTTACTTATTTGTATTGTGCTTCAAAGCAGTACAACATATTATTAGTTAACTCACTTTGTTTATAGATTTTTTATTTACTTAAGATTATTAGATTAAAAATTTTATTAAATTAAAAAATGATTGCATTAAGAACAGATAAAGAATTTGTCATGGATTATGCTACAAAAAACCAAAAACTCCTACAAACATACTGAAATAAGTTTACTGTGTGGTATTTTCTCCCTTTCTTGTAATTCCAGAAAATTTCATTATAATTGAATCTAAAGGCTCTGATCCTTAGATTTAAATTATTTACTGTATATTATTTAGATATCTACTTAATTTTTAAATAATTTTCATATAGTATTAAAAAAAAAAAATCCAAAACATTCTGTATGCAGATACAACTTTTTTCGTATGGTTGACCCGTGAAATACTGATCCATTTGCATATTTGCCTCAGGAAGGCAAGTGTTATAGAATGATGTGTCAAGAGTGCTGTGGGCTAATTGTTCATCTCTTCTCCTCTTTTTTTCCATTTTTATGTGTGTGAGCGATACTCTATAATTTTTAGCTGTGTTTGTCTATTTATCTGGGTGATAATGACCTAATTTATCAGTCATTCTGCAAGTAAAATGATCATATTCTGAAAATATCCTTTTTATTATACCTGCTATTCAAAAGATAGACTTGGTTTGGACTACTGCACTCATAAATAGGAAAATTTAACTAATAAATGTTTAATTTGCTAATACTGAGTTTAATCCTATTGCTTCAAAAGCAGTATAAATCTAGGTATTACTAATTGTTTGCACAGTGGATAAGCCAGAGAGATTTAAATTTCTAAAGTTATGCAAACACCATACTTTATCACATTTATTGTGTTTGTGCTGTCCAGTGAGGTATGCACATTAGTTCAGGCTTTCTGAACAGTCACAAATTACAAATCAAAGTGCTATACTGAGACCCACAAACAGTGGGGACTAAGCACTTCAGTTCTTGCTCCTTTTCACAGCTGTCTGCTCCAAAATAAGTTCATACGTGCAGGTTCAGAGTATAGAAACTTTTCTCATGTTTTATTTTCTTTAGTCATTTTCCACTTCAGTATTTTCACCTGAGCTTTAAGGTATTGCTGAAAAAAATATGCTTTCCTACGGTATTATAACCTTGATTTGGATGGTTTGCTTGCATGTCATGTTGATATGTATGACAATAGCAATAACAAAAGTGACTTTATCTTCTTTTCTGCTGTCAATCATAAATACAGTGGGGAAAAATAGTTGCACATTTCTTTTATTTTTGGTTACATAAGGTGGCTTGAAGATCAGAGATTTATACTCAATGTTATGAAGTTGAAATGATGAATAATAGTGAATTTAGTGGTATTGGTATTCTTTAAAATCTTAAAGGCATTTAATTCCTAGCAATTATTCAAATGCAAACTTTTGAATCTGTATATCTTAATTATGAGAATGTGTATGGTTTAACATATTTTACTTATGATGCTGAAGTTCTTGTGGACTACAGAAAGCTAGGGGCTGGTCAATAAAGGGTTCTTCTGTTAATTTGATGAGTTTAAAACAGTAATTTAAGCTTCCATTGTTCAGATTCTCCAGCAAATATGATAGATAATAGAAAGTCATATTCAGCAGATTTTGCTACTACTTTTGATTTAGCATTTTAAATCTCTGTGAATGACTACATCATAGCTTGCTAAAAATTCTCTCTTTTGTTCCAATTTATGACAATTAAGGAAAGGGTTTTATAGCTTACAACATTATCTGAAAGCTGCATTTGCATCCATAGTAATCTGCCTTGGCATTTTCAAGTTTTATAGTTGTAGAGAATTTCTTTTGTGTTGAAGTGGTAAAACTGTATGGTAATTGGTCATTGTTTGCACTGCTGTACTTAGAAACATTTCACTGCTGCCATTACAATCTTAGTATTTCTAGGGCTGTATAATTTATCCATGAAAATTTGCTTTGGGCTAAAACTTTGCATGCAAATTGTGTGTCCATTTTTAGACTACGTGAACTTGAAAAAAATTGCAGCTGTTACACACATTTTTTTTTCATTCTACTTGATAATTAAAAATTAGACAAAATTCTGACATTTAGAAAACTGAAGTGCGGTTATGGTTCTGGGATCAAATCGCACGAAGGGATGCAACTGAAGCTCTATATTTGCTAGAAGACATGCATATACCAGTGTATACCCATTAATAAGTGCAGTTCCAATTGGGTGAACAAAAGACTCAGTCTATGCATGATGCTGCATGCAAATATGACTGGTAGGTGTATAAACAGTCCTCTGGCTATTTGAATGCTTGAGTCTTCATTTACTATACTCTGTAATACTAAATAAAGATTTTTACTACTAGTGCTATGAAAATGCACAATAACAAAAAAAAATCAGCAAGGTGCTGGTGTTACAAATCAATTATGGCAGAGTTGCAACATTAGAAAACTACTAATTTCATTAGTAGTTCATACTGATGTTAATCATTTCATACTGATGAAATTTCATCAGTATGAAATTTCATCTGATGTTAAATTTCATACTGATGTTAAATCAACGATTTCCTAACACCACATTGATTCCAGATAGCATTTTATATCAAAGTATTCTTAGAATAATTCTAGGAGACATCACATTATCTTCTAAATCCATGTTAAAATGAAGAATGTGGAAAACAAAAAATCACTTGAATAGTGAAATCAACCATTTGCTAAACTACTGCAGGGATTTCTGTACTCTACAGTCCTCCAAACATCAGTGATATAAATGCAGGACCACTCTGTGGCAAAGACTACAGCTACTTCAAGAGCAAAAGATCAGATTCACCTGATTAGACATTATCCTTCAAATTGGTCTTTTATCTCAAACAGGAACCACAAGCAGATGGCTAAGAAAGAACAATGATGAGACAAGCAAATATTGTTGGGATCATTCTTCCTGTCTCATATCAAGCCAACAGCATCATGGGCTGCAGATCAAGGGAGGTGACTCTTCCTCTCTCCTCTGTTCTTGTGAGACCTCCTTTGAAATACCCTGTTTATCTCTGTGATTCCCAGCATAAGAAAGGCATAGACCTGCTCAGTCAGGTCCAGAGGAGGAAGACATGAAGATGACCAGAAGGCTGAAGATGACCAGAGGGCACATTCTCCTAAGAATTGGGGTTGCTCAGCCTGGGGAAGAGAAGATTCCAGGGAGACCTTACAGCAGCCTTACCGTATTTAAAGAACACCTAAAGGATATATGGGAAGGGACTTTTTATCTGGGAGTGTAGTAATAGGATAATGGGGGATGGTTTTAAAATGAAAGAAGGAAGGTTTAAATTAGATGTTAGGAGTAAATTCTTTGCTATGGGCCTGGTGAGATACTGGAACAACTTGCCCAGAGTTGTGGATGCCCCACTCCTAGAAGTGCTTGTGGCTAGTTTGGATGGAGCTTTGAGCAATCTGATGTACTGGAAGGTGTTCCTGCCCATGGCAGGTGGGTTGGAATGGGTTGAGATTTCTTCCAATGTAAATCATTCTACAGTTTTATGATTCTACATACCATTATAAGGATTGAGTAATTTTTTAGTTATCTGCTTGAATTCTTTTGACAATTCAGTAAATTGAATCCTTCAAAAGTACATAAGGACAGTTCCTTTAACACCTACTAACTTCTAAGGATACATTTTATTCTTTGATTGTTTAGTATTCCTTTCCAATCTGAAAATTAATGAATTAAATGTATAGCTGAAAATGCTCCAATAAATGAAAAAAAAAAAAAAAAAGTTAAGATACAATTTAAAAGTACTGAAGCACCTCATAAACTCTTTATTTTTGAAATTATCACATTCAGGAAAAAAAGATGTGAGATTAAATTGAATTATCCTACTTTACATTTATAGGAGTATGGTCAAAATGAAATACACATAATATTACACAGAATCACTGAATCACTGAATCCAGGTGAAAGAGGTCACTAGAACTAGTTGCTCAGGTCCATGTGCAGGTGGATTTTGAATATGACCAGGAAGGGAGACTCCACAAGCCCTCTGAGGAATCTGTTCCAGTGCTCAGTCACCCTTACAGTAAAAAAGCTTTCCTGATGTTCAGATGAAGCCTCCAGTGTTTTAGTTTGTGACCATTGTCTCAGATCCTGTCATTGATAACCTCTGAAAAGAGCCTGGCTCTGTCTTCTTTGCACCCTTCCTTAACATGCTGATAGACATTTATAAAATCCCCCTAAACCTTCTCTAGACTAAACAGTTCCAGCTTCTCAGCCTTTCCTCAAAGAAGAGTTGCACCTTCCCCTTTGTCATTTTTGTGGCCATTTTCTGGACTCTCTCCTGTACATGAATGTCTCTTTTGTACCAAGGAGTCAAGAGCCTGACATAGGACTAGGCCAGACATTTCATCATTAAAGTTTAACAAGTCGGTCAGGCATGACTTCCCCTTGGTGAAGCAGTGCTGGCTATTCCCGTTGACTTTCTTGGTTTTACCACACCTAGAATTTTTTTTCCAGGATTAGCTGCTCAATCACCTTCCCAGAGGGTGAGATAAGGCTGACTGGCTTGTAGTTCCCTGGGTCCTCATTCCTGTATACCATGAAGAGAGGAGTGGTATTTGCCCTCAACATTACTTGACAGTGGATGTACAATGACATGTTCCAGCTCTCTTAATATCTGCGTGACTTTCAGTATAGGGTTTGGCTGGCCTGCTAGGGCCCATGGACATATTTATGTCCAGGATGTTCAAGCATCCTGTGACCTGATCCTCTTCTACCAAGGGTAAATCTTCTTTACATCAACAATTCCATATGGCCATGGGGATCTCTGATTCCTGAAGACTGGTATGCTAGTAAAGACTGCCAAAGAAGACATTCAGTAAGTCAGCCTTTTCTATATTCCATGTGACCAGGTCCTCCACTTTTCTGGGCAATGGACTTGCATTTTCCTCAATTTCCTCTTCTCTCCTATGTACTTAAAAACACTTCCTGATTCTATATCCCTGTTTAAATAGAAGTACTGTATTTAACTCCTGTTAAAAAGAAAAGAATGAAATGTAGACCAGAAACCCCTTGGAAATTAGCCATAACTGTAATTGTACTGTCACAATAACATCTACAATCCCTGCAAAAGATTGTAGATGTTATTGTGACAGTATTATTATTACTCATGCATGTTAAGTTGTGCATCTGTGATTGCTAAAAATGTTGTAAATGTTACTCAAATATTGTGGGGTAAAAACAGTAAAGAAGATGAAATTAGTAGTTTATCCTTTAGTCTGAGTGATGTATGTCAAATAAGGTGGTGATCAGAGGGTATCCTGTGTAATTTGTGTTATCCTGGAAATGCCCAGTATATTATTTTATTGTCAGAATGAGCAAAAAAATCCAAAATTCACCACCACAAGTACAATGCAACATAGATTGGGAAAATATATCATTAGGAAGACAATAATTTTAGCAAGGTAATAGCAATGTAGATTTCTGTATTCCTAGGTCAGTTCTGCCAACAAATGACCAGATATACTTCAACAAATCCTCTTGCATGTTATGCTCTAGATCTGATAGTTCAAAATGCTTCTTTTCTTTCGCTCATAACTGTATATTCTATGTAGTCCATTCAAAGTGGATTAAAAATTGATTTGTGCATCTCTGATAAGATATGTGGTTTAGCAGAGACCAACCTGTTTTTGCTGTTTTATGGGTGGAAATAGCAAACAAATCCAGAGTGTCCCACTATGTCACCTAACTTCAGGATTTGAACATGAAAATTCCAATCTACTAATACACTTGAATAGATATTCCTATTAAACAGATGAGCCATTCCACATGTGACGGGAAATGAGTGATATCTGTCTTCAAGGACAGACTGATCACATATCTGAATTACCACCTCTTTATTTTAAGCCCACTTGGAGTCCCCTGGAAGACACAGGTGGTGCTAGATATAAACACAGAAAAATTCCATGAATGGAAACTTAATACAGAACTTCTAGACCATGCAACACATCAAAGAAGATATAGATTTCTGTAGGTCACAAAATAGTATCTATTAGAAAAATGGTTTTATCCTATTTTCAGAGGACTTTTTAAATTGCTTATTTTCTGATATTTTTTATACTTTCTATCTCAACAAATGCTTCCTCTCTTAATGGTAAGCCTATTAGAATAAATACCTAAATAATTTGTGAGGGTTGTATCTTATTAACTGTTTCACTAAAATAAAGATAATGAGCTGTATCTAACATTAGCCTAATCACAGGGCTATAAAAGTGCAGCTGTCCCATTTTCTGGTTACACTTGGACTTGGAAGTCCTTCTAGTTATTTTGGATTGGACAGCGGCCAAGATATTAAATTCTGCTGGACCAGAGTAATCTCCATACAACACTACCTGAAGGCTGAAAAGCACAGTAAAAGTTGCTGCATTGTTGTCCCCTGTAGTTACAGCTTTTATCTAGAAAGTTGCCCAGTATTAATATTAGATTGGGTTTATCCATGTGCTAGCAAAACAATCCCTTCTTGGAAGATGCAGTATGGAGTCATCTGAGCAATTGTACTTGGTCCAGGTTGGGTGTAAGAAGGATTACAAATGTCAGCTCAAAGACAGAGACAGCTACACTAGACCCACAACTGCAACATGTTCATGAGTTTCAGTATTAGCAGGTTGATTTAATTCTGTGGCTATACTTAAAAAAATGGAGAACTGACCATTTCAAATTGAATTGAAACACAGTTTGTCTGTTAGTGAAAACGTAGTCATTCCTCTCTCTTTCAATGCTGCACAATGCTACAATTTCTGGAGACATTTAATATAGTGTTAAATGTGCATGGTAAACTTAATGTAAATAATCTCCTCACATTGTAATTGCTATAACAATTCTTTGCTGATAGTAAAATTAGCAGAAAGTAATACTAAATCCAAAGTGAATAGCAAAGTAATAAACAAAACTTTATTAAGTATTTAAATGTGTCTCCCTATACTTGTAGAAATTAGAGCATATGAAAACAGACAGTGGGTAATGAAGGTATCTATTGCTCTTCTGTTGACAATTCACAGAGAAATCATACTTTATGTCTGTAGAGATATAACTGATAAAGTTTAATCTTTGGAATTCCAGAAAAGCCTGTTTGACAGCTAAAATCTGTTCTGTTTGACTTTATACATTACAGATCCCCATTAAATTTGCTCTGACAAGCCTGTATCAAATAGCCAGTGAAGTAGCTCCTATCAACTTCAATAAGATTTGTGTTAGGTTTAAAGTTGTTTTGTTTTTATGGTTTTTTATGACCCTGAGACCTGACCAGGGCTTCAAGGGATATTTATTAATGTTGCAGAAAGAGAAAAAAAAGTGCAATCTTAATCAACTAGAAAGTTAAAGAAATGCAATATATATTAGTAGAGAAATTTCTTTAAAACAGAAAGAGAAATTTTGTTATTGCAGAAATAGTCAAAATAGAAAAGACAAGATAGAAATTACATATTTAAAAGAGAGTACCTGGCATTCCATCCATAACTGCATGTCTACTACACACGAAAAAATTGAGAAAAGAAATACATGAAAAATTCTCAGAGCAAGGAACCACTTCCTACAGGAATAGTACTTTAGACTTTCAGATGTACTGTAAGTACAGTAAAAACAAAAACCGAATGAACCAACAAAGTAAACAAACAAAAACACACAAAAAACCCCCAAAACGAAAAAAAAAACCCAAAAAGTAGAAAAGGAAAAACACAAGTAGACAGTACGAAAGAAGTGAAAAAACACTTTGAGAGCTACCCAAGGTGTTGACAAATAAATAATGATTGGAGATATGATTTAGGTACTCACTATAGAGTGATACTTTGAGAAATGTTTGAATGAAATTGACAGCCACAAACAAAAGATCCTCAATAGGCTCCTCTTCAAAAACAAGGTTGGTCACAGTCATATAATCATATGTGAGTCATGTTGCTGCATCTGTGATTGTCTAAGGATAACAGCTAAGCCAAACCTTGTAAGGAGAGGTAATATGTTTATTATACTAGTAGGAGAGGTAATATGTTTATTATACAAGAAAATTTACCTGGAAAGAGCAGACCTGCTTGTCAGTTGAAGTCCTTCCTAATGTTGTTATACGTATATGGCAGAAATATGGATATATACGTGAAATGGGAATTTTGTGCATGAGAACTTTTTGTTTTCTGCTAGTGGAAAAATTGTTCTAACAAACAACATCTCCTCCCTCTATAAACCTGCCTAATAAAATCACTGACTTTGTAACTGAATAAAATGAATAATTTATTTATTCTCTGTTTCCTGATGGCCAAAGATGTCACTCAAAATCTTGTTATCAAAAATTCATTTTCCATGTAATCTAAGACTACATATAGTTTTAAAATGGCCATAAGAACAAGGTCTTTATATTTTTGTAATCCTAATTTTGAAAAATGGCTCAAAGAAAATACTAGGTAGAATTAAATCCTCCACAATTTAGAAAAAGGAGGCTACATTCAGAGGACTATTCCTTCACCTATCATTATCAGTGACTCATTCTGCCATCAAAAGCAGAGCCATATGGAAATTATACAGTACATACTGAAATAAACACATTAGGAATAGAGTTCAACATTGAAGCAACTAGGCAACAAAAAACTGTGAAGAAAAATAACCCCTGTCTCTGAGAGAAAAGAAAAAAATAAGTGCACAGCTTTGTTACATAGGGAGAATTTGTAAGGCTAAGAATTTTGTTGTGGCAGCACAAACAACA